GAAAAGATGTTAGACGTGACCCACAACATGACACCATTTCATATGGCAAGCCATACACGACAAAAGTGGGTTGAGTCCAAAATTACCTATCGAGTTTCAGTGATCGATATGTGAGATTGGAAAATTACTGCATGAGAAATAGAAATCATTGTACGAGAATAAAAAACTGTCATGCGAGATTTTAAATTACCCATCGAGAGTGAAAAAACATTAATTGAGAAAAAGACTGACGTAGCAATATACCGAGAAATAAATATTGACCGGTTGAGAAAGAGAAATCACTATGCGGATTTATCGACTGCTATTTCTGAGCCGGTGAGCACTAAAGATGATCCAGAATTTGAATTTGATGATGATGATAACTTGCTAGCAGCAATGTTACCAGATCCGGTGACAAAACTTACAGGCAATCCCTCCTGTGCTGGTTTAACTATAATAGCAAATCCTGTACAGAGACTACCTCATGCCACTGAAACAGGTCCAACTTTCACACGAGCTCATGCTTCAACTTCAACGGTAACACCAAACTTCAGACAGAATATACTGCACACCCGCATAGTAGGCTCAACTGGTGCACAAACTCATGCTACAACTTCTACTGCAACCATAAATCCTACACAGAGTGTACCCTCTTACACTGAAACAAGTCTTAGTGCTAGACAAGCTCATGCTGCAAACGCGAGTGTAACCATAAATCCCAATTATGAAGTGCCTCTAGATCGAGCGAAGGACAGGCCATTATTTAGTCCCAATAACTAACTCTTGCCAGTCCCAATAATGTCAGCTGATAAGAGATCACTGAACGGTTTCCACAGCAGCCACCCATTGAAAGCATAAGTAAACTGCCTGCAGCTCAAGGCATTTCACAGGATTAAACCATTGATGATGGCCTACTCAAGTTGCTATTCGGGAAGAAGTGATGCAGATTTTCAAAGATGAAAGTACTTTGAACTACCATCTCCACATATTGGCACTGCTGGGCAAGAAGAGGAGTGAGAAGGTAAGGGGATTCTTCTAGATCTTTTAGCATGCTTTTGGCAAAAGTGCTTCATATCACTGATGATTGGAAACAATGGAAAAGTTCATTTATTAGGCATGACATGCAGAGCATCATTCCTGAAATTTTACATCCCATTAAATTTGTGTCACCTCTTTGTGGCCCTGTGTCTTTATGGGGATGATGTTATCACTTCAGAGACTTTGATAAAAAGCTTTAGACAATTTTTAGCTACAGAAGATAGAGAGGCATTAGAAAAGTGCCTTGGTGATGATTTTGAACCTAGTGATGAAGATGTCTCGGACTTACTTACATCATTCAAGTGTTTTAAAGCACCAAGTAAGAACAACATTGAAGCCATAATCATAAAGCTTACCCACCAGGAACTTGTCCAGAGGCCAAGATATGTGATCAACTACTGGAATCCAATTCTCAAGGTATTATGCTTTAAATAAAACTTTCAGTTCCTCAAGAAACTCGACATCTTTTACCAAAGTAAGCAGCTAACATCCAAGAAAATTAACAAGTTATTCAAAGCTGAACCAGCAAATAAAGCAGAATGTACATTCTTTGAACACCTGAAATGGTTTGTAAAGTCAATGAAAGGCAAATCTCTATCCATGTTCTTATGGTTCTACAATTTTCAAAACATTGATGTGCACTTTACTACCCTAGAAGGGTTGCAGCAACATCCTATTGCCAGAACATCTGGACCAATGCTAGAGCTTCTATCTACATATAAATCATACCAAACACTAATTGAGGAGTTCACTAATGTAATGAAAGAGGAGCAAGCCTGGCTTTTTTAACATTGTTTAGTATGAAAGATGAGAACAGTTTAAAAAGAACACTTTTAATGCTTTGAAATGAACATTTTGAAATGAACTCTTTGAGCACTTTGAAATTTGCTTCTCAGTGTCACATAACTGGTGTAAGGATTGTCGTAACAGAAATTCAAGTTACTGTTGATAGAATTTCTGAACTTTCCAATTAGGATCAAGTCATAAAGTTATATCTATTCAAATTTCATTACAGTTGTCACCAGCAGTTGGTTAAATGGTCACAAGTTAGAAAGCCTTTTGACAGGATGTAAAATTTGCTAGTTTCAAGACTACAAACTCTAAGTAACAATTTTATCAGCTGATCTCTTATATTATCAACATAAATAAATCATGAATTGACTTTATTCATTACAGTCCTGTAAGTGGTCATTACATAACATGATAGTAATTTGTCAGCCCCTGAGAATAAGGCAACTTAGGGTAAAAAGTGACATGTTGCTTCTACTACCAGTAGTTGCCTTCTACATTTAAGAAATCAATGCCTAAACTTCAAATTGCACTAAAAACTGCATTAGTTTTAGTGCACTACTTACACCACAAAGTAAATGCATCTAAAAATGTGAAAATAGTTTCATGATAAATCAGGGGAAATGACAACATTTCATTAAGATTAAAACCATCAAAATTCAAGAGTCATAATTGAAGTTATTTTTAAGGGATCAACTATACCTGTGACAGCTGCTAAAAAGTGTCATGACTTTCATTTTCAACCTCCAGACAAATCATGAATCAAATTTTCTTCCTCTCTTTGTGTTCGGTGCAATTTTTTAACCACTGAAAAAAAAGAGATGACCACTTCATTGTAAAAGCTTTGAACACAACAGCATAACTTTAATCTTATTGACTGGTTGATTTTCTCAGTGTGTTATTTGTATTGAAAACATGTCTGCAGTAAGCTTTTCCATCTTTATGAAGCCCATATGGGGGAGGGAAAACAATGATCTTGTGAATGTTCTTCCATTATCATAACAGGAAATATCAAAATACTTTAAATTAGAAACTGATAAATTTTAAATTCATTACTGCTCTGTAAGGCCTTTAATGATTGTCACAGTGTTCAGAAAGTGGGTAACTCCATTGTCTCCATCAGGGAGAGGGTCAATCCTAGTATATAATTAATGCAGTTGGTGATTTGTAAGCTGACTGAATGACTCTGGTACAACAACATTGTTGTCTGTTTCAATATCAGTCAATGGACCATCAAAAACAATTCCATATGTCTGCCAATTTGTCACAGTTGACTCCTCGTGAGCATTGAGTAATTCAGTGTATCACATTCCCTAGGGTGTTTGGTGGCCTACTGTTCTAATACCACGATAATTCCACTGGCTTTTTAACTCATGTATAGAGGCATTGATCCAAGGAATACAAACATATTGCAAAGCCAGCAGGTGTTACTCATCAAGTGAGTCCAAATTTCCACTCACAAGGAAATCAAACAAATCCTTGTAAAGTGCTGAGCTGACTCTATTAACTTATGCCCATAGCCTTTAAATGTGCTGATTGTGGGCACTTGTATCAACAATGAAGCTACCTCTATCAGATCCCTGGTTGATGAGCATGTACCTGGCTACATCTACATTCTCCACCTTGAACCCTGAAAGGGAGACCAGACTCTTGTACCCCTTGCTCAAAATATTGAAGCACAGTACTAGCTTTGTTTTTTCCTCAACATTTCAGATATACAATGGCTTTGCTGTAGCCATTGATGCATCCATGGATGACAAATCTTAATGAGGTAGCAAATGGTTCGAATCAATGTGCCACAAATGATTTAGGCGAGTGACATTGTAAGTTCTTTGACAGATTGCATACCGACGTCTTACAGCTCTACCTACACTATTTATCTTTTTCAAGCTTTCTCTGATTCTGAACTGTTGATCATTTGTACCCCTACCTTTGAGACTGCCCCTAACATAGGTTTCCCCGCTATAGGGCGTTAAATTGGGAGTCTGCTGTTGCTGCGCGTCTAATTCTTCAGCCGTAATATCTGTGAAACTGTTTCTTACTCCAAACTCGATCGTTTGTGTGTGTAGTGTTTGGTCGGAGATTCCAAGGCATGTTGCTATTAGTTCTCTAGTTCATACCAGTCTTACGCAGTTGCTCGATCATTTACCTTGTAATTATGTACCTCGGTCTTCCTCCTGAACTTGCAGATAATGCCAACGGATTTTTTTCCTTTGGACGAAAGCTTGATGCATTTAAAATATCAGACGACCTTCTGAATAACACAGCTCTAACACCTCAAACAGGTCTGGAGAGGAATTTTGGGACAGAGATATCGCGATAACCATTCCTATGTGTTCTTCAAGCTTCCTAGCACAGATTTCTAATCGTTCATGATCATATGCGTGATAAACGGAAGCGGTTCTTTCGATGGTACTCCTGAGAGAATCAACAAAATTACAAATGCTGTAAAGTCTTCTGCACTCCGTTGCTCCGCCATTTTGCGAGAAATACACTCCCCTGACTGATTGCTGTACACGGGCTCAGGAAAACTAATCGATAATCTCGTGTAGTAACTTCTTTTTCTCATGCAACAATTTCTCATTCTCAACAGTCAATATTTATTTCTCGGAATCTTGTTGCATCAGTCTTTTCCTCGATTAATGTTTTTCCACTGTCTATGGGTGATTTAAAATCTCACATGACAGTTTTTCATTCTCGTTCGGTAAATTATATTTCTCATATAGTGATAACTCGATAGGTAATTTTGAACAACCCAAGTTTGCCTTGTTTGGCTTGCCATAATTTCACTCTGGATATTAGAAGCGGCATTCATTTTGTCTGGAAGATAATGATCTTAAAGATTCTATGAGGCCAAGTAATTTCCACGAAATGTTCTAAATTAGCAAATTATTATACTAGGTTATCCAGGATATCGTGTTTCCGAGGAAGTCACGTATGATTTCAATGCACAGCATTGGGTGTACCCCTTGTATTTCATGCATGATTATCAACGAAATAAGTAAAAATAACCAAGGTTCATCATAAAAATAATCATAACAAATTGAAGCATTAAGGGTCTCATTTCAGTCTTCACTGAAACTTTCCCCGATAAGGTTCGGACTTGTCTACATTAACTAATGGAACGAAACATGTATGAAGTTATGGTGTTTTTTTCACGGTTACAGTTTGCACCAATATCCTATTACTCCATCAAAAACAGGATGTATTCGTTGCTGGAATTTTTATTTATTTACTCAATTCGAATATTTCTTTAGCAGATCAGTCGAAATTTAGCAGATCAGTCGAAATTTAACAGCTCCGAGAAAAAGGAAAAGACCATATCATTCTTTTCCTAAAAAGATATAAAATTTTATTGTATTTAAAATTCATAATAGCTCCTTTTTTTGTGTGTGCCTACACGGCAAGTAACAGTGATGAGTAAACATTTTGATATGAAAAACAAATAAGTTGCAAAATTTCGAGGAGAGGAGGACAAACTCATACTGCGGTTAAAATAATCAAGCGGACAGAAAGTTAAAAGTTGCTAAATACTAAATACTTCGCCCTACTTATCAGAGCACTACATTTCCCAAACTCACCCTTAAAACTACCCCTCCAGCCAAAAGATAAAGTATAGCCGGCTGGGTTATAATCTGAAACAAAATTCTGAATGGAGTGAATACAATTATTAACAACTGTTTTTTTTATCATATAAAATGTATAAAACAAATGGACTCCATGTTGTAGTAATTCTGTAAAGTAGGCGTTCACAGATGATGTTTAAATGTGATAAAAACATGAGCGACACACTCTGCTGCGCTTTTTGCCTCACTTTCCGGTTCTTACCACATTTGACGTCATCCGTGAACCATTACTGAACAGACGCGCAACACAATGGAACCTATTTGTCAAAATAATTAGTGCGAGACACGCTGACAGAAGTTGGTTAATTGTTAATCGTCGGTAATGTGTCTCTCGCTTCAAAATGATTAAATTGCTTATATTTTTCATACACGAGAAAAAAAACTACACGAAAGCTAATCGGTTGTATTTAAGAGATCCCTACTTTCTCTTGTTGTATCGTTATCTTCACGTGTGAAATATAAAATTATTATTGTAAATTCGATTTGCAGCAGTCATTTCAAAGAATGATCTTCATCATCATGGTTTGCAAATTATGAATATTCAGTTTGGTAGTTTAAGAGTATGCTAACGCTATCATTTAAATTGTTCTCCATCAGTAAACAACCTTTTTCCTCAATTCTCTGATTGATTCCTTCCTCTTCCAAAGCCACCTTTCCACTTTCTGGGAAAGTAGGGCTGTTCGACTCGATGGCCTGTTCGGCTGGCAACACTTCCTGAAAGTAAAAGCGCAGTATGCATCATGAATTATCACGGTACACTGATTTGATAGGGGTGCAAGTTTCTTCTCATTAATGGGAAAAGAGCTCACGATAAACTCCAATTACCTTTTACGCCCTTTATTTACCTAAAGTTCGACATGCGTACCTGAAGAGGTGAAAGCACAAATAAAAGACGTTTCTATTCACATTTATTCATAAAAGAATGTTGAAATTCAGATCAGGTGCTATGCGTTATCAGGTGACCAATCCATCATTTTTTTCGGGTTGTTCTTTCCGGTCTGGGCTCGAACTTCAAGCATGCCACCTTTAACTTCCAATGAAAAAAACTGAGGTTTAAAAGGCCTTAAAACGCATAATTTAATAAAATGAATACAAAGTCACTTATAAGTACGATGAAATAGCCGTTTAAATATACTGCTTATGCATAGCATTATGTCCAGGAATGTAAAAAACTGACTTTTTAACTGACATCATAAATACCAACGTAATCAGTTGGTGCGGAAGCACGTTTTTGGCTAAAAAAAAAAGCAGTGAAAGGGGTACTTGCAATTTGCATTAGAAGTTACGGCACGCGCTTGCTTCCTTGTGACAAGATTAGATTTCTAACCTCTTCTTATGGTTTTCCTAAAACGAGTGGAAAGCGATATCAAAGAGCGCAAAGTTGGGTTCAGGACTGATTTCTATTTTAAAATATCTCCTCGAGCAGATCCTCCAGGTGACTAGAAAGTGAAAACATTACTTACTTGGAAACTCAGACTCTGGGAATTCCTCCGGCTGGCGTCCTGTGAAGTCTATTATGTCGTCTTTGTCTCCCATGCGATCTATTGACAGGTCAAATATTTTTGCCATTCGCAGTCCCCTTTGCATTTCGTCTATCGCCATATCTTGTTTTCCCATTTTGTCATGCAATATAGCCTACGCAGTCTTTATCCCGACTTTCCATTTGTGATTTTCTTCTAGTTCTCGGTCGGCAACTTGTTGTGCCTTTCTTAGTAAGACCATTGCTTCTTCAAAATTGTTCTTGTTCATGTGACACATTCCAAAGTTCTTTAGGGTCAAAACAATTTCTTTGCTACCGCCCGCTCCAAGTTTCGAGTAATTTTTGTTCTTCCCTTCAAGAAAAAAAAGGCGGTCTGCGATGGCCTTTAAAGTTTCAGCAGTCATGAAGTGTGTGCCGAGGCAATTCTGAAAAATTGACTTAGCCTCCTTGAGCTGTTGCTCAGATTGCTCGGGTTTTTTATTGCGCTTTGCGATGATTCCTGAGAGATAGAGAGTTGCTGCTGTCTCTGGGTGCATTTTTCCCAGTCTCTCATGGCAGACCTTTAGAGCCATTTCAGTCTCTTTGTCCCTCCTTGCGTTTTCCTTTGAGTCTTTTTTATCTGAAAGGAATCGAACATAACTGTTGTGGAAGTAGACTTGAGATAACGGTTTTGTTTGGAATGCAGTGGTATTCCCTGAGAGAATTCGATGCGCTTCATCCATAACCTCCTTGTACCTTTCTATTCTTCCTTTTTTCCTGTATTCATGTCCAAGAAGACACAAAAGATCCACAGTGTGCACCGGTTGGATACGAGAGTCAAAAGTTTTCAGTAACTTCTCAAGAATCTCAGTGTAAGATCGTGGGAGAAGGCATCTTTCTAAATACATCCACTTCTGCGGAAAACTGTCTAGAAAGAGCAGCCGTTCACGATCTCTTGATCTTGTTCTTCCCTGCCTCGGGCGTAAATTTGAAGAAAATATTCGAAATTGTTCTTGTCTTCTTGAAAAGAAACAAGGGAATCCTTGCATGTGTCCTTACTCCAGTAAATATTGGCATTCTTCGCGAGGCGCAACATGAAGTGTATACAAGCCAGTTTTTCGCCCATTGCCAAAAGCTCGTCATACCTATCACGACCAATCTTCTTTGCGTATGACTGAATGAGCGGATGCATCTGATATCGGCGGGAATAGGGCTTCTCCACAAGAGATCTGTTTTTTAATGAGCGCAGGATGGAGATTGGCAAAGCCCCAGAGATCGAACATTCGGCCTTCGTCACAGCTTGGACTGCATCAATATCAAATGAACCTTGGAACAAAGACAGGAGAATGAAAGCCTCTTGTTCGGGTTCGTTCAAAAGGTCAAACGAAGTCTTAATGGCCTTTTCTACAGAACTCTGGTCGTCTTCTAGGACAGCTAATGGTTCCTTTTCAAGGCTTGCTATGAGTGTTTCTTCGGAATAATCTGAAAGAAGAGAACCAACAATGCAAAGTGCCAAAGGAACACAGCCACATAGATCACTAACAATGTAATCTACCCTGCAAAGTTTCTGTGGAGCACCTTCATAGACTTGCACTCGGGAAACAAGGAGATCTCTTGCCTGTTCCGTGGACAAAGGGTGCAACCTGACTTCTTTTGGCTGCAAGTCGGAATGTTCAAATGTTTTCCTTGTAGTAATAACAAATGTTACCTTTTGCCTCGATAGACTTCGTAAGTCACATAAAAGGCTCAGGAATGACTCTCTATCGCCCGAGTCAAGAACGCCATCTGCGTTATCAAGAACGAACGTGACCTGGCTTTGAATCTGTTTGCTCCAGTCTCTTAGCCACTGCCCCGGATTCTCTGGTACTTGTGTGCTGACTGAACCACATATGTTGATCATTCTTATGGCCACTTCATTTAAAGTTGATTTCGTTTGTAAACTACAAAATAGTACAGTTCCTTCCTTCTCTGAAATTTCTAATTCATGAGCCACTCGTTTAGCCACAGTCGTCTTTCCAAATCCAGGTCCACCAGTAACAAGGACAACAGGGATGTCTCCACCCTCGGCCATTTTCGTGACACGCTCTATTTCTTGGTTACGGCCAAATACATTTTGTTTTAGTATTATGTCCGGTAAACAGCTGCGAGGGCTAAAACTTGACGAGTGAATCCTTTCTTGTTCCTGTATTTTGTTCCATTCTTTAGCTAGTTCCTCCAAATGTCGCTTTGTATCGTGATCAATGGGATCCCTTTTCAGCGCTTCCATTTCCTCTACGTGTCCCTTTTGTAGAACATAAATCTTAATTGCCTCTAAAGACAATGCTATGTCGTTCACTTGTCCTCGAATTTAGCGTTTGGAATTTCGGTAGAGACGTTGTGACACAGCTCATTTCGGAAACATTTGATGCGGGTAATGTTTGCTCCGAGACTATTATCATCTTCTGCAGGCATGTTGTGCCAGCCGGTTGAAGGCGCCGTAAGATGGCAAATTTCACGAAGCAAGAGATGTAAAAGTGAAATGTCGAACGTTTTTGAGTCCGGTGGATCGCCTACGGCAGGAAATAACATTTCCCACTGGTTTTTAAATATTACACCTCTGGACCTTAGCAATTGAAGCTTTGCCTTGTTGTTGTTTAATACGACTTGTAATTTATCCGTTGGGTAGACAGAATGCAATAAATTGCGAAGAACGTGTGTTCCTCCGTCAACCAGCAGTCGCATTAGCTTCGTGCCATTCGTTTTCTCCTCTGATACATTTAGCACAGAAGATCCAGAAGAAACAGGAGAAACAGGAGAAGAGGCTGTGCCAGCCATTATCTTTCGTGTTTTAACTCGAGGAATGGTCTTGGTGGCAAGACAAGTATTTATGGAAATTTCGTTTGGAAAATGAAAGAATAAGCTTACCTCACCGATGCGTGCGTGTGTTTGTCGGATTCATGATCGCATCTTAAAACAAGCGAACAGAGTCGCCATCCTTAAACATACTAATAAGCCTAATGAACTCAAAACCACTTTACAAGAAGGCAAAAAGTTCTAAGAAAAAGGAGATGATGTAGTTTCCGAGAAAGATCTTTGGACTTATGGGTGTATAATAAGTCAATTTGCATGTCATGCAGGAGACTGTCATAGCATGATTTAAGTGTCATGCAAGGCTGGATATTCGAGATGTTTGTTTCTGGGAAGCTTAATGTCACGGTTTGTGTAACTTCAACTTTAGCTTAACATTATAATTACTTAAAACTCGTGCAAACGATTTTTTATGGGGACTCCAATATGCAAAAGAGTCAGTCAGTCAGTCACTCGCTCACTCACCAAATAAAACAGACACTGTGGCAATAAGTCGTCCTGAACTCGCCCGAGCACGAAACCATATTGTAGTTGTAACCGTTCATAAAACGACATAGGGGCTTTATTGCAATTTAGACCGAGGATCGTTGCCTTAAATATCACCTTCCAAGTGAACAAACATTTATCGCGTTCGGGCGCAAAAGAAAAATATATATATATTGGCTCCTTTCTGTACACTTGCAATATAACCTTAGTTTTTAATAGCCTGTGGCGAACAGTGCTGCAAGGGTCACTGATTTTTCGAGAGCTCGATTTTGAATTCAATGTGTTGGAATCTCAATGAACACGACCTTTTGCATGGTACCATTTTGCTCAAGAAAATATGAGGCTGAAATGACAGTTTGAATGGGAGATGCTTTGTAACATAATTCTCAGAAGACAGCAATTTCCAAGAAATGTTTAAGATTAGGGAGCTTCTATCAAGATGTCCAAACTATCGCCAAAGTGGAGGCTATGCGTGACTTGACGTGACGTGACGTGACGTGAACTGCACCTCTTTATTCAAGTGTTATCCAAGGAATCACAAAACGGCGCGATAAATCGAGGCATATATAGTCAGATTCAAATCCTCAGCACTTTAGGCAGCTAATGTAATCATGATGCAATTTGTCTGAGGTAGACAGGGGTAGTTTTTTTTTTAGGCTCATTAGTGTTATCGCAAAAGTGTTTTAGTTTTCAACAGGCACGACTGTGCTAAAAAAAGCTCGAGCAAGTTTCTGTTCGTTTTGCCATCTTTTGCCAAACACTTAAAACATTTTGAAGCCGCGTAACTATTTTTGACTTTCATGTGTTTGTAATCTAATTCTGGTGATTTACAACGAGGATATTCACAGAGCATTATTTAATGAACTAAAACGTTTCATACGCATACAAGTCCTCTAGTAAAATTTTCCTTACAAAATTGTGTTGTCATAAATTGCAGAACACTGAAGTTTTAAAAATTTGCTATTTTTGTGGGTCAGCTAATGATTTTTTTTCAGCTCGTTCGATCTGTAATACTGAAATAAATTTTTCTAAAAAAGCACGACCTAAGACTGTCGTGTATTTGCGAGTTGTTAATAACGTTACTTATTTCCCTTTCCTCTTCTTCCTTTGTTTCGGTCGTCAGTTTGCAAAAAGTCGAATACCATATTGTTCATAAAGTTCGTTCTTGTCACCACTAACGTTTCTTTGTCCCCTTCTTATGGAGATCCAGCCTTGGACTTTTTGCTTGAATGTTTGCTTTAATGGCCAGTTCGCCCGGAAACGTTTCCTGAAATTTACAAACAAAAGTAGATATTTGGATTCGTTTGTTTATGATTTAAAGCATTCATAGATTCAAGTTTCCTCTCGCCATGAAAAGTAAGCAGATTTACTTACAAGGGTAATATAAATACACCCGATTAGAATATCAAACACAAAGATCATGTACATCGCTTTGCAACATTCATGACGAAGTGTCCAGACGCAATCACACTTAAATGTACAGCGTTTTTAGGATCAGACGAGAATATCAACTGATATTCTATTGGATGAGATAGGGGGCGGAAATAATGGTGTTTCAGTTCACAATGAATTATTGTACTGACGATAGTTACGAGTTTTGAACCACAAAAATATGTTTCTGGAAATGTGTACTTTAAAAAAATCTATGTACTTTTTATTGATCGTGGAGTCAACAACTTCCTCATTCACAGTAGCCACTGGATAAGTATTCGAAAATTTCGTTCAGACCTCTTCCACAGTCAAGCAGCTTTATGACGATGTAATACGTAATTGGAAAATGAACCTTGTACTTACTTGGAAACTCAGCCTCGAGGAAGGTCTTCGGATATCGATTCATAAATTTCCGAATCTTGAGTTTGTTTCCTATCTTGTCCATTGCAAGTCCTAGT